GCTGGAGATGGTGTCAGGTGAGAACTGTCAGGTTTTAGAGATTTAATGAGGAGGAATAAGGTCATATAGGATGTATTATAGTGGAGGAACCAGCAGAACCAGCAGAAACAATGGCTGGTCTCTGCTTCTCATCAGTGAGTTGTGTTAAGTTTTTCATGTCTAATATGGTTGGTCTCTAACCTAAACAACAATGTACAATTTTTATGGGATCTGCCTTCACAACAGTCATTTTCCTTTCTTGGAAATCATCTGTTGCCACCAACTTCGTAACTTTGAATCCTTTTTGTAGTTCTTGTTTCACGTTAAAGTATCTGTATATTCACATCCACAACAATCTTCCAGTTCTTGTTCTTATATTAAAGGTAGTGGATAATAGTTATATAAAAATGCAACTGCTTAAGCAAATAAATACATTTCCACACTAGAATGCAGATAATTCAGTGTCAAAGACTGCCATTGAGATGAGCTAACTAGCAAAATAATAATGACTTCAAACAGCTAGAAAAGTATATGGGTAAGAAAACAATGGTGAAATTATTTCATAATGATTATTTTGTTATGTACCATGCTAAACCATCAAGGAATGAAAAATGATACCAGTCTGTAGCTTTTATCTAGCTATATATGAAAACATAATGTAATACAGTGGTCTGAAAACATGACATCTCTGGCTTCCTGTGTGCCCATGCTGATCCCCTCAGGTGGTGAGGGAAAATGGAAGCTAAGGACAGGCAGCCATCACCAAAGCAGTTACTGCAGCTGCCTTTTTTGGGGCACTCCTCATCTGTCAGGATATCAGCTGAATTAATAGCTTTGGTAAATGCAGCTGGTCCTTGCTTATCCCCTGCTCAGGCAGAGGCATGCCACAGGCTCACAAGGGAACCCTGTGGAAGATCAGTGTTTATGAATTATAGTTATGACAATCATGTCTAGTCCTCAAATGCTCATTTTTGGTGAAGAAAAGTCATTTTTTCTCTGTCTGGTCTCCTTTTACTGCTATAAGAAAGATAAGAGATAAACTTGATTTAATAAATAATAGTTAAATGGAGGCCACATGTTGCCTGTCATCTAAGTAACCTGTTCTGTAAAAATATCATTGTAAGAAGAGTGGTGACATAAAGTGCTTGTTGTAAAGGAATTGAGAAAAAAGGCAATGGCAGACACTGCAGGTCAGAAACACTGAAGGCTTTATTCGAAAGCTATACCAAATTAATGTTTGATTTGGCAAAGCTGCGCCACTAGGCAGTATATTATGAGCTTTGACTTGTCCACCACCTCATAAAAACCACATGAAATTATGACGAAGACATGTTTTTAGAAGTACTTTTAATAAATAATAAACATATAGTAAAACTAAAAGTTACAGTACACATTGTTTGAAAATAAAAAAGTTGAAATCAAGAAGCCTTGAGGGAAGCTCTGAGAAGCAAGGGGCCTGCCCCTAGCAGTGTGCTGCTGCAGCATATGTGCAGCCTTTCCAGCAGTTCACAGGCTTAAACGTTTTCTGCTTCGTAAAGTTATTTTGGTGCAACACACCGAACACTTGAGACTCCCATTACTGCTATTTGACAAGATAAGAGTTAAAAGAATAAAATCTGCATTCAGGTTTACAAGTAGATGGGGTAATGAGGAGGGCAGATGGGGAAGATCTCCTGGGTTAGGCAGGGAGCTCAGGGAGGAGCTATCAGCTAGGTAAAACCCAGGGCCAGGCCTGTGCTGCATTCACCAACCCCAAACCCGCTGGGCCAAGGTCCCCTCAGGGGTGGCGGAGCCTTCCTGTCACAGGGGGAACACTGAATGGCTGCAGCCAGCCTTGGGCCTTGCACCAGACCCTGCCTTCCCTTCTCTAGCTCGGGTTTCTCGTCCTGGGCAGTCCCCAGGAAGCAGCAGGCACCCCACGGCTGGGAGCCAGGCTGTGCAGTGGGTGCCTAGGCTGGGTGGTGTGGCCACTTGGCCACTGCTGGCAACTCCTGGCTCTGCCCCGCTCTTTACAGGTGCCGGATTCCTGTGGCCACCTCTGTCAGCTTTGCCAAGGGCAATGGGTAGCATGAGTTGGGTCATGCAGTGCTGTTGGGACCAGGGTTCAGAAGACAGCGTGTCACCAGTATCATCATTAAAATCCATCCACAGTGAGACTTCAGACTTAATGCCACCCTTCACTAACATAGTATTTCTTTACCCACCCCCACGAGCCACCCCAAACCACCATGCAGGCAACTAGATGCACTATAAATGTACTAAAAAAAAAATCATAAATTGAAGAGTGTATGAGTGATCAGCAGAGCATTCTCTATTCACTCACGCAAGGATTCTTTCTAGTCTTAATTGGCTTTATGATTTCATTTTGATATACTTTGCTTTTCCTTCTATCCATTAAGGAGATTGGGTAGCGTTCAGTATTTTTCAACATGAAAAAATAGAAATCTTCATTTTGTAAATAAAATCTGATTGATGAGACAGAAGATAGACAAAAGTGAGCAGTGGGCATCTAAAATTGCAGCTAAGAGACAATGGCTTCTAGAGACCAGCAGTACTACTTATATGCAGGTAGGTCAAGGAGGTGAAGTGTAAATCACTACAGAACATGGACTTGGATGTGTCTATCACTCTTAAGGAATAATGAAAACAAAGCTTGGCTTCAGATCATTTAATATTACAATAGAGTAATTGTTAAGGAGGAGGGAGAAAAACAGCCTGGGAAAGGCTGAGGTGATGAGTGGATCCAAAAGAGGCTAAGGGGGCAACCTAGGTAAAAATTAGGTTGAGGCAAAAACATTGCTCAGATCAGGACACAAAATGAGATGATGGTGAGAACACCACACTACAAAGTGGACAGGCTCAAACCACTTCTCAACTTTGCAAATCAGTGTCTTATGTGTCAGCATGTCTGCCTGAGAAGTGGGATAGTGTTTCCCATAGGCAAGTAGGATAGGGGAGGCCATGCCCAATGGATAAGTGCTGTAGGTTACTGTCACGTCCACCCTACCTAGTGACTTTCAATATAATGATAAAAAGAGAATGATCTAGAAATACTAGGCCGGATCAAGGGTCCAGGGAGCTCAACATCCTACCTCTGACAGCAAAACTAGATGTCTGGGAAAGCATGCAAGTTAACACAACTGAACGCTCCTGTCCAGGCCCCCAAACACTCAAGTCAAAAATGGATATCTGTACAGTCAGTGACTTGCCACAGATTTCTCTTATAACTTGTTCTGCTGTCCATGTCAACATGTACAAAATTCCATCAGTCTTTTGCTGTTTGCATAAAGACTGATCTTTTCTTTTTAACAACTCCTGCTAGACTCATTTGATGCTTCCTAGTTCATCTGATAAAGGAATACCGTCAGTAGTTTATCTTTGCTGCTACACTCAAATACAGAGCCATTTCATACAATCATAATTATGTATCAGTTGTGTCATTTCAGTGGTGAAAAGCCTTCCTCTACTTCACTGTTGTCAAAAAGCATTGTCGATCATTTCTCTCATCTTTACTCTCTCAGTCATCAGCATTTTGTTACCCCATCACTTGCCCCTTTCTTCAGATTGCTTTACAAATGTATTTGAGAGCCAAATCCAAGCAGAGATCTCTGCAGAATTTAATTGACATCCTCCTTCACTGCAAGAGCTACTTACTCCTGCCCTGTTTATCTTCTGACAATACGATGTCCACATGAGATACTCTTCTCTAGCCCACATCTACTTAGTTTCATTTGAGGAACTCCAACAAAGAATTTTAGAAATCCAAATAGGGTATATAAACAAGATGACTTAAATGCATACTTGTTGACCCTGCCAAATAAACTTGATAGGTTGATGAGGATGTTGATTTTTCCAAAGCATGACAATTTTACTCATGGGGCTGCTAATTCTTCTTTTTAATTCTGTTCTCATTAACCAGTATTTCATGTGTCCTGCATTCCAACACATCAGTGCCTGTTTGTGCTGCTAAAACCAAAGTACTAAGCAAACACAGTGACAAATTCAAATGGATTTATTCAAAGTTTTTTGAATGTTAATTTAATTATTAATAGTTAAATGTAATTTCTTACAAGTAGGTATAAATCCATTCATTATCATTACACATCTATTTCCTTTACTCACTATTTGAAGCACCCACAAAAGTACTTGTCAATCATTGGAAGGGAAGTATCTAAAGTTATGGCTGTGTTTCTATAATTTCTGGAGAGCAAATTTGTCCTATTAGAGAAGTATCAGATTTATAATCAAAACCTGCTTTTCTGTCTCTTGTCGAACAGTTTGAGACTGCAAATGAGATGCAAGTCTAACTTCAGTTTCAGCTGTAGGAATATTACCTCTCTTGGACTCCTGACCATCCTTTCATTGCTGTAGATTGCACGCTAAAATTCCTGCAGATAATGAATCTCAAGTATGATGCCCTTGACATTTGGTTGCAAGTCTGGGCTGTTTTGGAGGGGCTTAGAGAGAAAGCAGACAGATTAATCATTGCCAAGAGGCACCTAGCATGGACCTCAAGCTGTGTATTTCACTCCAGTGATCCTTCCCCACCCCCATTATCTTCTCTCCAGCTTTGCATCCTACAGAAACAAAACCTAGAGGAGTGTGCTACCTTGTCTGCTACCTGTCTGCCTGTGCATGAACATGTAAATGCTATTTTAAAAAGTGTTTAAAAATGCCCAACACATTAGGCAAAACTTCACATCAGTATTGTCAGTTCACTAGCATGGAAACTAAGACCAGTTCCTTTTCTGAGAACGACACCTGGTTCAATTAATAGCCCACATTTCAAGTTTATGGCTAGCTACAGTAAAGACTACTTTACCTAAAAGACTGTCACTGAACAATGGAGCTTAGAAAGCGGTCCTACAATGGAATTGGAAAATTGGATTATGGTATTTTTTTCCTCATTTTTATTAGGTTGTTTTATGCTAAAATATGCTTCACAGGAAGGTAAAATTTTATGTTTATATTAATTTGCTTTAAAAAATGAAACCAGGAGCACATGGATGACAACAACTAGCTTTTTTTTTTTTTTACATAAAATATTAATGACAGTAATTTTTACCTCTGATTTAACTTCAAATTTTAAAACAGATAAATATTAAAGTGATTGCAATACAGTGTGAAGACATATTCTGAAGTATGTCTTTCAATATATTTTTAAAAAAATGATTACATAATAGTCATAAGATCATTGATTTAATCAGGACTCCTTGGAGTTGGCTGACTAACATTCATGCACACAATTGTTTGGAGAAAAAGAGTGAAACATTCAGACAGCTTTTTTTTTTTCCCTTTTTCAAAACTTTATTAGGTAGACATTACTGGATGACATTGTGAAACCCCTTGTGTGCAAGTGAATGAACTCTACAATACACGTCTTCCCACATTTCATTAAATGCACCCCTGCCTCCCTCCTCCCCCCAATTTCTGAATGTTAGCTCTAAGACAGGTGGAGTGCATTCAAATGCTACTTGACATTCTTCCATTTCATCATGGGGAAGCACTTCTTAAGTTTGTTAATAACAGGGGATCGGGATATCAGTCTAAGTGAAAGGAATGCCTTGAAAATAAATGAAGTACCGCAAGTTATGACTTACGAACTTCACTCTCAAAACAGACACCGGATTCATCGCATAGCCTTTTAAATTAAACTGCCTACCATGAATGTGATTGTATTTAGCAAAGTGAAGCAGTACAGAGACATACCTACTACTGAATACTAGTGAGGTAACATTTTGAAAATAAACTGTTAAAAAATTCACTTACTTTCAAAAGGTCCTGTCCAGCAGGACAAACATTGGCAGAACATCTTCCCTTGTATCCATGCATGTACATGTGCATATACAACCTGTGTCATTATAGCTTTTTAAAGAACAGGATTTTAATTATACATTCATCAGGACAAGTTTAAAATCAGACATTACTATGGCAGATTCAACAGAAGACTTCAGTGAGTTGTCTCTAGACCTCCTAAATTAAAAGGCACTCTGAAGAGGGTAGCAAAAAATGATCCTTACAAAACATCGACACAAAATGAAGCAGCCACAAAGGTAGCATACTCAATAGTGGTTATTGGTAAAAATTTAAAATACCAACTTGAACAATAATTATTTGTAAAATATTGCCCAGGAATACTGAACATCTTTGTCAAATTTTAGCATGAAGACCATTGTTGCTATACTATGCAACAAATATAGTTATCAGCTAAAAGCAAAAGACGGGTAACAGAAAAAAATTAACAGCATTTTGGTTCTGTGCCTGCTGGTTTTAAGAAAGCAGAATGACATTCAAGGGAATAACTTCTGAAAATAAACAGTAACTCTTGACAGTAATGACATACTTTGATACATGGTGCCTCCTATTCAGTGGGTTATAGAATGAGTTAGTGCCTAGTAGCTGGAGATAATACTGAGATAAAAGCTACTAAGATACTGTGATAATCACTTAAAAATTTATTCAGTATGACACTAAATCAAATTACCTATCACCAAAAACTTCAGATTTGTAAGCTGAATCCTGATTAAGCACTCATGTATGATGCTTCATGAAGAAATAACGCTCTAAGTGACAGCCATATTACTAATTAAGTACTCCATGGGGGAAAAAGGCCTCTTCTACTGTTCTAAAAACAAAAAAAAACACCCTCATGAATTTCAGGAGAAAAGGTCCTAGAAGATGAGAAGATTATCTTCATTTCTTTTTCTCCTTCACAAACTCTTAGTGGAGTAAACTGAACACAGTGAAACCATTTTATGATTATGAATCCATGATAAATACTTTTTAAACATCATTTTTCATCCAACCCTCACCAGTTACCAGCTGTCGATTTCCTTCCAATAACTAGCATTTTGTAGCTCCAACTTCTTTTTTTTCCTAAGCTAATTCATAACAGAATTTCATATAACTCAGGATAATTTTAGAGTAGCTTATTATTGGCACCTGATTTCAAATAGATGGACAAAAAAGTGGGAGCAATGTTGGTTAAAAAAAATGCAGATCCTTTTAGAAAATCTAGATCACAAAGGCAAAATCCCACTGACCTTTGGGACAGTAATCCTAGAAAAAACACCCTACAATAGACATTTTGAAGGTATCTGAACATGGTAATGTATCTGAACATGCTGTTTTTCCAGATCATCTGGTAATGAAGGGCAGGGCAGAGATCCAAGAGCTGCTCCACTGACCTCCCTTGATGGTTTGGCCCATCAAGGTATCCGCTCCAGAGGAATTACAAACTTGTATGAACAGGATACATTAGTTCAAGTTGGATACCACTGAAATGCTGTTAAACTGCTCCAAACCCCAACCTAGCCACAGTGCACAGAGTGGTGTGAACAGGGCCCATTAGAGCCTTGGAGTTTGAGGTTATACATTCTCAAGGCTCTGGTGTAACTTAACTTCAGTTGAAGTCTCTTTTTCAAACAGACACATGTTCTTTTTAGTGGTTGAAAACTCCTAGCTGAGTACGCTGGAAGACCAAACTCATTCTGACAACACATATAAGATGCATTTCTGCAGAAGTCTGAAGATGAATAGGAAGTTAGAAAAAAAATATTTCTGAAATGAGATGAAGATCAGCAGATTAAAATAGGCATGCCAGATTAACTGTGCCATTCTTAAAAAAAACAAAAAAAACAAAAAAAAAACTTGTTCACTAACAATGTTCTTCAACCTTCTAAGCAAAGCAGTACTTAGTTTGGCTTAACATGTCTGCACGTAGGACTACTTAACAGAAATCCCCATATTGCTCTATCAGGGGGAGGGTAGAGAACACCTTTCCTTTGTTTCAAGCAATAAGGCACTTACACGTATAACATTTTTCTCACACAAAACACAATACTGGAATTCAAGTGTTGATTACATGGATATTGCCTGCCTCCAGTTTTCATAGCCTTACTCTTAGTCATGCAGAAAGTTCTGATCACTAATGCATACAGATTTTATATAGCCCAAATGTGGAATTAAAAGTTCCTTTCTTAATGAATCTGGATGATTTGTCCAGCATTCTACTTGTGCCAGAAGCACCTAGACTAAAAATGATCTATTGTTTCACTACCCCTGACTCCCGACATTCAAATTAACCTTATTTTAAGGGGAATTCTTCACATTAAGATATATAAAAAGAGATGGGACATGAAAGATTTCTCACTGACTTCTCAATTAAGATGAAGCTCAGATTTGACAACCTTCTCAGAAACATAGATCGTTTTTCTCATCTCAACCACAGGCAAAATATATTTCAGTAAATACCTTAAAAAAAGTTATTTCGACTCAGATGGTTAGTTATGTAACAGAAAAGGCTGTTTAATTAAATTAAAAAAATGCAAAACCTTCTAGCCCTAAAGAGAAACAAATTTCAGCAGTTTGCATTTAAGTAAGTTAAATACAACAGAGAATCTTTTCCTGGTATAGCTCAGCAAAATCTTACTTAAACTACTTATTACATGATCATTTTCCAAGATCCAATTTTGTCTGTGGCTATTTTCACAAATCAGTTTCAAATTATGAAATTTAGAAGTAAAAGGAGAACATTAAAAATAAAGCGTATAATAAATGGAAATGTAGTAAACATTTCGTTATGAGATGGTAAACAGTGAAACGGAACATCTACTCTGTCCTTGCAGTTTCTGGACATGAAGTAGCATAACATAAATCAATATGAACACTTTACTGTGCATTTTTTAATGCAAAAAGACAGTGACTAAGGACTGAATTCATCTGTTTACCCACAGCTTGCATAAGAATAGAACAGTTCAGTAGGAAGGGGCTTACAGATATCATCCAGTGCAACTGCCTGATGACTTCAAGGCTAACCAAAAGTTAAATCATGTCACTGGGCATGTTCAAATGTCTCTTGAACACTGACATGGTTGGGACATCAACCACCTCTCCAGAAATCCTATTCCAGTGTTTGACCGCCTTCATGGTAACAAATACAAAAGAAGTTTATTGACTGCATCAGCACTTTTACAAGGCAGGTTTAAAATATGTGGACAGATTGAAAATCTACTTACAGCACCTAAACATTCTAAACATAAGGTAAATGTGTCATTGTGTTATTAATATCATGATCGGTTAGTAACAGAAGGATAAAATCACAACAACACTGTTTTCAGTTTGCCAAGTTTTCAGCAAGATAAAGGTTGAATGGGGCTAGCATGCAACAATGTTCAAACAGCTATGTGCAAAATCAATTTTTATGCAAAAAATACACTTTTTTTAATGCAATAACTTTCTCCTCTTCTGTGATCCATACAACACACTTCAGATCTACATTTCATTTTGATAAGCCAAGTAAGCTCCAAAAAAGTTTCTTCTGCATATTTAAACTAATTACTATTACACCTGTTCCTTATTTTATTAAAGGAAGATATATTTAGATGTAAACAGTTGGAATTATGTTTAGAAATTTATGTATTTATTTTTAAATAGGGAGTAAATAACTAAAGCTTACTACAAATGTTCACCTTTGAAATCAGAGCATGCACTGATTTCATTTTCCTACGTTATGGTGTTTTACTGTCTGGCTAAGAGCATCAGTGATTAATTGCCTAGTATGAGCACTCCACTCCTTACTGGAGAGAGAGTGTATAGATCCTGAGCCCATATGTACAGAATAAGGAAGAAACAGCTAAGAAGTTATAATCTTATGCATTTGTTAGTTTGTGGATTTTTATTTTAAAAAAAGTTTGTGGGTGTTGTGTCAGCTTCAGCAGTGAAAACACCGCTAGTCTTGACTTTGAATCAAGGTGCAGCTGTTTTTTCATCTAACAGTAGCAGAAGCCAGACATACCAGCAATATAATTTTTAAAATATGTGCCGTCTTTCTCAAATTTGTGTTAAGTCTGAGAAATATTACACATCTGTAACTCCAATTCCTACTATGTGTTAACATCTGTTACACTAAAGGCAGCAGAATTTTAAAATGTTTAATGCTGCCTGTGGGGGGTGTTTCATGTTATTGGTGACTCAAAGCATTAAGGTCTCTTATACTAAAAGCTTGTATTCATTGGCCATACAATTTACTTGAATAAGAATACTGTTTGTGAAATCTTTCCTATGTCCTGCTATCTCCTGCACTTATTAGACAACACTAGTAGTATTACTCTGCAAGTGAGAGAATGGTCATTACCATAGTTTGCACTTCTTCAGAAATAAAACAGATCTCAAGTTGCTGAACAACGCTTATCAACAATGGCTGCCAACACACTTTCTAGTATTTTGGAACACTGAAATATTTTGGAATATCAAAGTATTTTGGGCCAATTCTGTGCTGGCATAGAAATGGATATAACCTGCCTGGTTTAATGGGGCTATGGCTGATATTAAGAGCTGACCCACTGTAAGTATAAGGCTGCAAAATTAGAAGAAACAGAAATCTCTAGTAATTTCCTCACAGTGGGATTCTTTCCATCAGCAAAATTAACAGAAGACTAATACAGATTATAAAGTAACAGTAATCCATGGTTCTCATCCACTACTTGGCACCACACAATTATTATCATACCAAGAATTATGAATGATGCAAGGTCTGCTCAGGAAACAAACCGCCACAACTAAATTAAAGAAAGAAAAAAAATAGCTCAGCCTATTTGGCCATTGAACACAAAACAGTTACTCGGATATAACTGAGAAACCATTCAATCACTGGAAAATTTTTATCCTCTGGCAGAATCATTGTCTCTCCTACCCACCACTGAACATCACACAGACTAAGGCAGTCTTCAGAAGAACAGAGAGCCCTCTGGCTAAAAGGAACATCTGACAGTGATCCTACATACCCTCTAGTGGAATTGGCAGTAGTTCGTACAAATTAATATTTTTTATTAAGTAAAACTTCACATTGATCAAACTTTCAGAACCAATAACTAGATGTAAATTAACAAACAAACAAACAAAAGCTATCATACCAAGAAGAGTTATGATGTAAGCATTAGTAACATCAAAAACAAATGCAAAATCCTCTCTTCCATATACATTTGCACTGCCCCTGAGGAAGATAATAGATCAAAGTGCACTGTATTTTAATGACATTTGAAGAATGAGTGTACTGCTATATAATAAAGGCAGTGAGAATTGAAAAGTAACAGTTTTTTTTCTGCAGAACTAAGACTGATAGGTCAGCCAAAGCACTTAATTCCACTCCTGCCTCTTGCTTGTATTCTTAGTTTCCTATTCTTACCTGCAAATAGATTTACAAGAAGGAAATAAACAATTATTTTCCAGTGACAAACTGGATGACCTCTGCAAATACATGTAACTATATTCTGAGAAGCTGCAGCAGGAAAAATCATCCAGCCATAGATATGGTTGAGCAGCCCTGAAACTTGACCCAACTGATGAAACTTCCTCAAGAGCCTAAGAGTAGAAATGAAGTAAAAGATACCTTGAAAAAACAGAACTCAAGAAGCGTGCACACAAACATTTATTTGTCCATGCACACATACTGGACATACAGAGCATGTACCTAGAGCGTCCAGTTTGAATGCATGACTGAAAACTGTACTACTAAACTGTAAGGGGCTCTAGCAACAAAAATGATTCTGTATTGAACTGAAAATAGCTGACCTAGTATCAGGTGCTTAGCTTGAAGACGTGAGGTACATGAAAGGGTAGTGTGACACGTGGCTAACACAACTCTTGGTACATAAGTCTCCTCTGCAGACCAAGAGCAAGACAGTCATTTGGGGCAGTAATTGCTGTGAATTACTGATGGCTCCCACAAAGATGGCAGAGAAAGGTCATGCATGCCCTACACCACAGGGAAGGCCAGTGCTGTCAAAGCTCAGGGCCTCCATCCAGGCTGGACTTGTCAGGAAACATTGCTAGCAGCACCACTGACCTTCAAAGGGGTTTTCCAAATGTAGGGAGAGGCAATGAAAAGACAGGTTGAACCAAAAGTTGCCCTTGCAACTGGCATGTGCTACAGTCCTGGCCCAGCAGATGCCAGAGGAGCTCCCCTGAGCCCAGAGCACCCAGCTCCTGCAGCACAAGTGCAAAAAAGCCTCAGTATGTAAGCATAATGATTTGCAGGCAGTCTAGAAATAAGGCTAATGCTGAATGGATTTAAGCACTTAATTGGAATATGGATATTGGTAAGCAAGAACTTCTCAGCAGAATAAATAGTCTTGAATATAGTGAAAACAGTTCAGCATAAAGTAATGTGTAATCTGCCTTAACACGTTAATTTGACTGTCTGATGAAGTTTCCTGCTAACAGAGACAGTAGAACAGTCTGATGGCTTCTTAAGTGTACAGCTACAGAAACCCAAACAGCTTTAGGTAGTAGAAAACATCCCTGAAATTCCTTACAGCTAAGCTTATCCCATTTCCTTAAAACTTACCGATTAATGATTGTAAAATAAATGGCATGACTTTGATGTCTGTAAGATTTCCTACAAGATGAGAATAGCTGTTTAAAAGCTAACATTTTATTGAATGAAAAATTCTGGTTTGTGTACTGTTCAAATGGGTAAACTTTCATATGTATAGAAAGACTTCTGTATTCCCATTCTGCCTGGATCCTGATTTTTTTTCCCCCTCATCTACAGAGAGAAGCAAAACCAAATACAGTCATTCCTATTTATTTTTCCCCCCAGAGAAAGCAAGATTAGACTCTCATCCTCACAAAAGATGCCTAGTTCTGCAATGTATTAAAAATGAAGAAATATTTCACTTTGATTTAGTTTGTTCTGATAAAATCAAAATGGCCTAGGTGAAATGATAATGTAGGAGCTGAGATGTATATGCCTTTCCCTCCACTCACAATGACATGCTGTTGAATGTAAAATAAATGCAGATCTATTATCTTCCCTTTATGCTCTTTATTCTAGCATCTTAATTTCTGATTTTACTGAACTCACGGAAACTGTGAAAATAGCAAACAGCAGAGAAAACAGCTAAGACGACGAGTATTTCTCATATTTATAAAGAAACAGGAAAACAAAGGAAATTAATCTACTGAATAGTTAGTTACAGATAATCTCAAGTACTAAAATATTCTCAAGTGGAATAGTTTGACACCATATTACAGACTGCGTTGCAAAACCAAATCTATTTTTTATTTTTATATATATGTATATATATATATATATATATATGCATCTCTCACTCTCTGAGGTCTGAAGGTTTGCTAAATAATACAAAAATATCTTCATTATTTGACATTTAAAGAAAGGAATAAGAATCCCTGAGTAAGCCAAAGACAACTGATATGTACAGCCTCAGAAAACACACTCAAAAACAAGACTTGATTTTAAGGCAGCTTCCAACCTGCAGGTAGAACACAAATAGAAAACTGATGTGTCACAGAAGAAACCTAATTAGCAGGTGCATTTGCATTGAGAATAGTATTTGAACTTTACTTCTAAATGTCATTGCTTCCTAGCTTAATATGCAAGTCTTAGAAAGATACTGTTTCTATTGATAGGACAACAGGGTCAACATGCCCTTCAATTCAAATGGAAAAATTAAGTACTGTTGACTTCCACAGTGTGCTTGTATGCACTGTTTCAACAAGGGAAAAAAAAAACACACAAAAAAAACAAACAGGAAAACAAACCAGAAGTTGTCTGAAAACACACATACTAGCCATCTATGGTAAGCTGATATTTGTGTTTCCAGGTAACTAAAATTATCAGTTTCTTCCACTGAGGCTTTGAAGTCAAAGTGAATATCTTACGATAACAGAGTATTATGCTGGTGGGGAAGCAGACTATTTACTTGGGAAAGTTACAAATAGATTCAGATTTAATAATAAATTTTCAGAGAAAGTGGTGCAAAGTACATCCTCTCAAAAGATATGCTGTTTGTGAGCCTAAATTTTGAGGTCTGTACACTTAGGACATTACTCATCTTCCTGCTTCCCCATCTCCCACACATACACACACATACATATATATGTATCTTCAAACACTCAAAAAAAGTACCTTCACAGTACAAATCTAATCTTCAAGATCAACTTTTTTTTTTTTTAAAGTACAAAGTAGATATTTCTCTTATTCATTTCCTCTCTTTAGTATATCAGTGTTCTGCTCACACAGATTTACTTTATTCTATTTTCTTTCAGATTTATTTGTATGATAAATTTGGATTGTAACTAGAAATGAAAAAACTCTTAGCTGATTCTTGACTCTGAATTACATTGCTCTGATGGTGATATGCCAAGAAAAAGGTCCAGTGACAAACAGTGGTTATCTAAATTTAGGAAAAGAGAGCACAGATCACTATTTTCTTCAGATCTATAATGCACCAAGAGCAGCAACACTGGAAGCAGAGAAAAAAAGTGAAACGGTCTCCTAACAATTTGCGAACCCTTCCCTTAGTCAAAATTCACAAATTTTCCTGAAGAGACATCAGTAGATCCTAAGACTTATGCAGACTGCTTATAAAACAAACATACATGCTATTTAGGTTACAAAATTCCACCAAGTCAATCTTCACAAAACTAGTGTGTAGCATTTGTACTATATGTCAAGTCAGAACAGAAGAGCAGGTTTCCAGCTTCCCTGCAAACGTTTCCTTGCACATTGTGTCACATTTCAGTGGATATCAGTGGCCTGTTCTATCTCTAGTTACTTCTTGTTATCTAATCCCTTCAAATCTTTTTTTTGTACTGAGAAAATTTCAAAATGCTGTACTCCTCTAACAAATGTGTCACCCCTCCCAATCAATATTATTGGACTGTCAAAAAAATAAATATGAAAGAAAATCCAATGAGCATATTTGTAAGTATTACTGAATTTCAATAATAGTAATAACAATAATAGTAATGTTTCTTTTTGAGGCACTATTATTTGGCTGTGGCAATCCATGCCGCACAAATGTGATCTACACTCTTGCTTGCTAGTAGGACGACTCAGAAGATAACCAGCTGTCATGTTCTGGCATGTGACGGGGTTTTGGTATGCTGAACAGAATGCTGTGTGATGGAAGTTATTTACAGAAGTAGTTTTTAATACCAAAAGTAGTATGCTCAGTGTACAGTAAGAGTCCAAACACTTCTAAGCACTTCCCCCTTAAAGGCCAACACTGAAGTTAAACGGAGCACATTAGCAGTCAAACGCTTTCTTCACAGGCCAAATCGGTAGTAGAGTTGTGGCTACAATACAGACTTTGATTGTCTAGTTCAGAAACTTAGACTTAAATCTTCAAAACAAAAACCAACCCTCCAAAGTAATAATAATAATAATAACAATAATAATAAAAAAACATTTAAAAAGCAGCAGTCAGGGGGCCCATCTTGTTCAGAGTGCACCAGAGCAAAGAGGCTTTCTGGTCTGCAGTAGTGTTCAGCTGAGGGAAGACGACAGGAGGTCCCCCACTTTTCTTCCAGGGCGGTGGCTGTGATGCTGTTACCAGAACTGTATTGCTCTGTAGCACAAACCGTGTATAGCCCTTGCAGGACCAGTTTAGTTCAGGTGAGTATGGCCTGTCCTTACCAGGGCATACCTGTCCGTGACCTCTTCCTCTGCTTTTTACAAAGGCAATAGATAGGAAACACAAATAAACCTGCCAAAATAAGGAAATAAGAAGAAAGCCATAGTTAAATGAAATATTTTGTTCATGCACTGTATTCTTTCAATATATGTAGAGTATTAAGATGCAGCTTTCCATGTCTTAAGAGAATTTAGACAAGGTATCTGGGACAAGCAGAAGAAAATACTAGCCTGCAACAGTCTCTTTGGCAACCAGTTAAAATAAACTAAAACAGAGAAAGTGTAGAACAAATTCCTGCTAACCTCATTTCCCATCTCTGACAAAAATTTGTTTCTGCACTACAGTTTGTTGTGTGTAAGATACAAAGTTAAAAGCTTTAACAGTACTTTAGAAATTCTTAGATCTGAATTCAAGGCTGATTTAACTTAACTCATTTTCATAAACATGTAACATGCAAATATAAAGGCTAAGACATGCCTATTTATAAAACTTTTTAATTCAAGGTTCATTTCTTCCTCTGCAGATTATCAACACTTTATAAATTCTCTTAACCAATTCAATCAGTTTCACCTTCATTAAAAGAATTTTATGTATATATATATTTATATATATATATATATATATAAAAATATAAATAATTATTCATTTTACAGACGCCCTTGTTATCTGTTGTGAAGTAATACGAAATATTTATCCCTGCCCAGGCAGGGGTCTATATTTTTAAAACTCTTTTGAGAAAAAGCTGTAAATGACAAAAAGCAAAATAATAATAATAATAATAAACACCACAGATTTATTCTATTATTATAGTGATAAAATAGTTTGTTAGAAGAGGCACTCTTTCAAGTCCAAAGGAAAAGCATCACCTCCTTTCTCTTACCACCAGCTGGGCAAAGAGCAGATTTGCTAGAATAACTGCATCCACAATTAATACAAACACATTAACCGAGTTTTGATACTATCATGAAATTAATTCATGGTACATCTTTTTGTGCTTGAATCCAATTTGGCAGCCTATGCATTGAATCAGGCTGAGACTGGCTGGTAAGATTCTAAAGACAAGTTAATTTAGAAAAAAATGTCACGTGCTTTATACTAAAAGTTTATCTATGAAAATTGTATTTTATTTTTTTTGTGTCCATCTCTTACAGATGAAAATTCTAAGATATCAAGTAATACAGATACAGATAGTAACTGCAAAATCAGACCCATTCATACGCGTAATTCTTACCTATTACAACAGCTATGGCTCCCAGTGCCAGTCCCAGAACCAGTATTAGGGGTGTAATGAGTAGTTTTCCAGCTGAAACATAAAATTCATTAACAATTCAATGTATGCATTTTATTTTTCCCTTTTGAACCATCCATAAATGTTTGTGTATCTGATCTCTTAAAAGCTGGTTTATTTTTTTTGAATACTATGTTAGGATCCCTATTGCTAAAGTCATTATTAAACACTGAACTTGGAATCCAAATTGTCTTTCCTGTATCGAGCAGCAGAATCTTTCTAGCTCTCTTTCTCTGTTGGCCAGATGGCTAGTTCAAAGATGTAACTTGCCTTAGTAGCTTGAAAATATAGCAGAATAAGCATTTTACTGATATATCGGCAGACTGAACACAGATTTGAGATTAAACAATACTCTACTTTAAGCACGTGTTTGAAAGATTACTTATAGAAAGGGGGGAAAAGTGAGTTTGTTACCTCTCCCCTACCCTTCCCTCTCTCAAGTCACTTGTATCAGATTTCAGTAACTGGATTACTTCATTCAACAATGACGTAAACCTCTCCATAACCTGAGCCACTAATTTGGGCAGGCTGAAGGAAAAAAGATACTTTTTTACCACTGGAAATATTTACAGTGGTAAAATGAATTGGTCCTTTTCACACTTGTTTTGATAGCTTTTAAATTTCACAGGAGTGTCGTGGGCAGGAAACATTAATTCCTAGAAGGAAAAATTGGCAAATATTATTGGTATTACTCTAGTTGCTAGGCATCCAAATGGTCAGCCTTTTGGGGACTCCGCTGTACTGCATTCTATAATCACAGAAGTGGTCATTGCTTCAAATAAATTACTCATGTGTAGACAGAAGGAGGAATGTGATGAAAAACCTCAAGAAAATACCAAAAAAAAGTGATTAAAAACATTAATAAGCATTACTGAAGCCCTTACTTTCAAAAAAGCCTACAGAATTCTGTTTTGAGGTATAAACTGTCTATATACTTTACTAATAACCATGTAATTTGAATGTTAGAAAACCATGACATGTTTGGTACCAAAATCATTAAAAACCTAAACTACTTGAACTGGTGACTAAGTACACAGCAACAGACTCTGCAGAAGGGCTAAGCAAACTTCTGACTGGAGTCACCTCTTTGCCTACATAAAGAATGCTTCCTAAGTTAATTCAGTTTAATAGCTCGTTTATGTACAGTTGACACACTAACTCAGAACTGCAATAAAGCATGAATGGCTGACTTTTTCCTTCTCTCTGCGAATATAAAGTTTAGTTTAGTCTACTTGTCCCAAGATCTCAGGGGACAACCTGAGTTCACTAGCTAGAGCTTCCTTTGGTTATCAACACATTGTTTTAATGGTTATTCTTTAAAAATAAAATAATTTTTCTACTTACATGTGTACTATATGTAAGTCCTTAATTTTACATTTTACAAAGGTAAAGAAAGATAGAGGAACAAGTTCACACAAGATGAGCAAGACTTATACAAATCACCATCAGCTAAGAGCATAAATAGCAGCAATCACTGCAAAGCAGCCAATATCTATATTTTACTCCAGAAATTTATTAACTTGGTATGAAACCAGTTATAAAATGCTGTGTTTTGAATGTCTGACTGAATACTGCTTTCTATCCAAATGCGGTTTGACACACATCATTTATCATAGTGCAAAGGACTATGAAGCTCTTAATCACAGAGGGAATTGTGACACACTAAGAAACCCTGTTGAGACTATGGATGTTTATTACAGCCACTAGATTTCCCAAGGATCCACTGTCCTATTTCTGTCAGCTTCTGCGACTGCTAGCAAATAGAGCAAATATAAAAGCCTTGCCACACAGATGAATAAAATCTTGGGTCACTAGTCCATGCAGTGAACTCAGCATTATGTTATGGTAACCAGTTTGGTAACATTCAAAGTTAGTTTTTACTGATAGTTACAGAAACTGTTGCAAATAAAAGAAGCCTAAAAAGGAAACACTGAAAAAGTTCTACTCAGCTGGAGACAATTCTCTACAGATTTACCTAGCTTGACGACTTAGATATCTATAGTAAAGTAATAACTGCAGGTTTTTTCAGAGGAGTTTCATTAGATATACAGAATGATATTTTTATGTCAAATTAGGAAACATTTAGAAAACATGAGGGAATGTTTTTCTCTTTACGTAACTGGTCTTGGTTGTGGGGTTTTGGGTAGTATTTATGAAAACCCAGAAATCCTTAGAGAATTCTTTGCCATCAAAAACTTTATATGCTAGCTTTGGAAAACAAATTTAATCACTAGCATGTGGATAAATAATAATCAAATTTAGTCTAACTCAATAGCTGTATATGCTTAAACAGTCATTACAAGTATCTACTTACAAATCAAAACAGTCACAGTGCTAATACAAGCTTGCATCTGTTTTTAAAAAGTCCTATCAAATGTATGAAGGAAATCTTGTACCAACTTAAATGATAAAGTTGACAATGAAGGCTGGATTCTAGAAATAGGATTCTTCCTGCTGCAGTGCTCAAAACCATGCCTAAAGCGAATCTTGCTCTGTCTTGGGACAATGGTATATATCAGATTTGAAGATAAGCTGCTTTCAGAATCCTATCTGAGATACTATTTACTATGGAAAATAATTCACTTGTTTTATAGCACCATTATGTGTTGTGTACCCTATTATGTATCCATGCAGTATGCAGCAATTGATTTTGAACATAATTCACCCAATTGATTTCAGGTGGTACTTACGCAGCATCTTACATTTAAAGACAGCTGAACATGTATTTTTTTCCTGTGTTCAATACCCAACACAATTCATCACTACCTCAGGTTATGACCAAACATTCTGCCTCCAAATTAGCCAGAAGGAGTCTGATTACTATGAGGATGAAATCTCAAAGTCAGCTTTTTACCCTTCAGTCCTAGCAATTTCATCTTACAGTATAGGCCACAGGACAAAGTTCTTCTAAATTCCTTTAAAGAAACAGTGAGAAGAGGAGGGAGGAGAAGGAACATCAAAAAAACAGACTAGTTTTGCTCCCAGTGTATGTTCTTCTCTCTTGGGTTTCTATCACCTTTACAAAACCTTTTGTTTTTGAAGAAAAGTGTGTTGAAATACATGTTGCCATAAATGCTTTTCCCCTATTTTTATGACAGAACAGTCTATGACGGTAGGCACACACATTTGCTGCTTAACAGAAAATATGATGCCAGTCTGCCGTGAAATGTTCTTTCCTTTCTACACACCCTACCCACCCAGATTTAGTAGAAACAAGCCAAAGAACCTTTGCTGTTCAGACTACAAAATCACCACACTTATTTCTTCTCCATAGTGAGAAAATAAAAAAGTGACAGAAGAAAAGGCATCTTGCAACACATCACCAGTCTCCCACTGGCAGCCAAGTTAATGTCCTCTTAATTTCCACTACTTAGCCAAGGAGCAGTGCCATTTTACCACAGTAAATCTAGTTTTTTATTTTTATTTTTTTAAATTGCTACATGCTACTAGAATTTAAAGACTATACTTTTAATGGCCTGTTCCTCTACTCTGGTCTCCTCTTTCTGACGACTTTTCAGAATGGAGCCAGAGCCCAGTCTTGCCCTGTAACACCAACTGACAAAACCTTAAGATATTTACAAGTCCTACCAGAGATGACTGAGGAATTTAGGGTCTTGGGCATCAAGGCAGAATTCTCTGAGTCCTTGTGAGCTTGATTGTTAACAAGCTATGCTGAATAATCTCAGCAATTAGTATATTTTCTGGCAGCTAGTGCTGTCTCTACTGAACTGATGAACATCCCCATGGGAAATAACACAATGACAGAGGTTAACGCTGGAGAGAATTTTAAGAGAAAACCCTAGAAGGAATTTAGGTTGAGGCTTTAAGGCTTTCTTGGCCTTCTAAATTAAGGCAAATCACAAGCACATACAAACAGGAAGCAAAAGTAAAATATACTACATGTTCTCTATGTATGTTTTTATAGATATGAACATACACAGTCTTCACCACTGGATTTTAACTGATATATGCACTTCCACAATTCTTTGTGGGGAAAGAAAATGGGGAAAAAAATAAACACTACTGTAAATGAACCTAAAGTGTTTACTCATTTACATTATGTGTAAAGCATTGGACAACGAAGACAGAAAGAATTTTTGGCAGATTTATAATATGATAAAAAATACTTATTTTTATTGCTATCTGCACTGAACATAGATTTAATCCTGGGATAACTTAGCCCGCGAATATGCATGTAAGCAGTATAGAATTTGTAATGTCTCCTGCTATTACAGGTAGCGATTCCACCAAATACACCAAGGTCCATTTACAACAGCTTACACTGTAGGCCAATGTTTCTTTTACTGAAAACTCTTTTGAAACCTTACCAAGTGCTTTGAAACAGCCCTTGAATTTTAAGCCTAAATTTATTCATGGACAGTTTATACCCATGTGCTCTAGTGCCAGCACTGTCTTTAATCTTTAATAGATCTTCTCAAATGTTGTAATTTCTCTCTAGAAAATGCAAGAGAGTGAAAACATGCATATTGAGTGCTTTGTACCTTCCTGTTAAATGAAATAACACAGATCCAGTCCCTTTTAAAAGAGCTACTGAGGAACAATTTAATAGGCATTCATCAACTGATAAGCCAGCACCAAAACCTCAGAAGAGGCCTGAAAAGCTTGCTCCACAGGAAATATAGGATTTCAGGCATTTCCTTCCCTCCTCTGATCCTACTGGACAGCTTAGGTATCCCCCAGTTCAGTACATAAATCCATTGTTGGGAACAAACATCGCCCTAAGTGACACACTGATCTAGACATGTAGCTGAGGTGCTGGACTCCACTCCAGCTTAGTCACCAAACCTTGTTCATCTTGGCAACAGTCAGCTCCTCCTGCGGATCTAGGTTTTGGCTGCTATACACTGTGGTGTAGCTTTCAGAGCGTGTTTGAGCAAGTGCTTCTCAATTTGCATGCCAGCAGAGAGAAACACAGACCAATAGACCAATAGGGCAGTTGTACAACAAAATGAAAATGCAGACAAAAACATAAAACATAAAGACATTTATCATGTCAATAGTTTGAGCACCGCACGGAGTTTCACCAAAAGATCTATGAAATCAATGCACTGTAGTTTCACATGTGGCAATGTAACAGGTCTATTTAGGTACCTGAAATCAATGCATAGGTGTTACAAGTAAAGTGCATTTTCTCTGGAATGAACTAAAATTCTTCTTTAAGGCTAGCTTATACCAAGACTCATTTTTGCTGGTTTGCTTGTGTATTTTTCCAGTTTGCTTATGTATTATCAAAAAAGGTTGGGAAACACAAGCTATCCAAAGAGAATACTTATTCATACACAAACCATTGACAAAGGGACCCCAAATGCTATATTTTAATGTATTTATTAAACCACCTTTTACATAACTAAAAAAAGAAGCTACCCATCCTATACATTTATATGATATTGATCCCCCAACCCTCCCCAATGACCTCTTCGTGCAGCTCTCTACAAAGCACACTTATCCACTCACCACAGACAGAGCCTCGCACCAGTCTCCTCAAATGTGGTCTCTCGGGGAGGTAGCGGTATTTGCATCCAAATATACTGAGGTTTGATGTGTGATCTCCAAAGAAACGGAGCTGGCGGTATCTCTCCCCGCAGCGGTAACAGAAATTAGTGTTACACTGGGAACAGGTCATGTGGTCACACCCTTCTGTCCTTTGGATGTGGATCTTCACGAGCAGGAGGAAAAAGAAAAGACTGTTTTTAGCCCTCTGGAGCACGGAAAAGCAGGCACCTGCTCCAGCGCGATCCTATATACATCAGATGAAGAGATACTGCAAGCAGCCCCTTGCTGAACTCTGCATCTGCATTAATAGAGATTGCAGCTGTCCTAAGACAATAACATTTTCTAAGGCGTGTTTCAGACCATCAAACACGAGTTACAGCTGTTTCCAGGCTTCTACATAAGAAGTGCCTTTCCACATAGTTCTCCCTCTTTGCTTGACATCTTTGACTCACATGAGTATCTGAGTGATCCTTACCCTTACTGAAGATGAAAAATTATTTTTACTACCCAAGCAGACACATTAGCACCTAACTTCATTAAAAATGAGAGCATCACAGTAAATATAGTTGTCAACTCTGTCTCACCCCTCCATAGATGGGTTTCCCTCTTATGCCTCCTGTGGCCCCACTCCCTGTCCCATTACCATCACAGATTGACTTGGCATTTTGTAATAAAACAAGAAAGGCTCTGCTTCAGGATGAGGGACTTAAAAAGCACAGGATTCCTTATTTACATGTATTTTTAACACAGCATTAAGCCAAGCTCCCTAGCCTTCCACCTTTCTGCTAATTGTCTGCATAAAATAGCTTAATAATAATTTAACATTTCTATACCTCTATATACTTCTGCACACTTGGCACATTTACTCACTTTGCACAGATTTTGTCAGGCTTCAGTTTTAGTTAATAGTTTTGAGAAACTTAGAAGAGAGGTAGTCCTGAGAGTATTTCATGAAATCACATTATGCACTGCAACGTTGATTACACAGCTACTGCTCATCCTTGCCAGCTAAAAACATAGCTAATGGGGTGGTAAACACTTTTCCTAACTCATAAAACTGGATTAATACTGCCACCCCCCAGGCTCCACAATGTAATAGCAGACAAAATTACACAATGATTGAGGTTGGAAGTAACCCTCAGATGTCCCCTCTTTTAACCCCTAGCTCAGTGGTGGGCTAAATTCAGAATCAGATTAGACTGCTCCAAGCCTTGTCCCACCAGATTTTAGAGTCTTCAAGTATGGGTATATCACAGTCTCTTTGAGTGACCTGTTCCAGACTTAACCACCCTCCCTGGGAACAGCCTTTCCTCCCTTTACATCCAACAGGAGTTTTGCTTACTGAAACGTGATGAATGCATCAACTTCTTACTCATATCTACACATGTATTTTGACAAGACATCACCACTTAATGGCCCTGCCAGCACCAGAGGTGATGAAAGCTCAGGCACAAGTGAAACCTCTAACCTCAAGGGAGGCTTGTGATTCCTAGGGTATCGGACATTATTCAGAGGATCAAGTGTGGAACTGGTCATGGTTCATCTGGGATCTGAGAAATCTCTTCCACCTCAACTGCTACCGAAATTGGAACTTTGTGTATGTAACAAGCTGGCATTTTCCACCGGCAGTGCTTAAAAGACTGCAGGGCAGATATCATGAAAAGTGGCTCCAGGTAGGTCTGCTGACATCTTTGTACCAATGTCAGCCATCTCAGAATTTACTTCTGCACTTTCAAACACTTCTTTCAGGTAAAAAGATGGGAAAGACATTCACATGCACAAAGACTGCACTATAAAATGCCACTCTGATAGACATATAGAGGGCTTGCATTCATCCAACAGAAGGGATCCAAATAGGCTGACTAAACAATTGCTCCCTCAACTACAAAGAAGCCCACTGTTCAGTTTGTTTGTATCATTCCTTCACCTGTAGCAGAGGTACCCTGTTTTCCAGAAGCACCTAAAAAGAATGCCATTGCTGATGAGCTTTATAAGCTACTTGATTTCAAATCTTTCACATTTAAGTGTTCAATGCAAGAAAACCAGGAAAAAAAAGTTTGCCCAACGTTATACCAATACTATACCAATATTATAATATGTAATATTATAATTATTATAATAATATTGTAATATTATAATATTATTGTAATAATATATAGAGAATATAATATATCAATATTATACAATTGGTATATGAAATATACCAATTTCATTTTTGATTTTTTTAAAGGGATATTGTCAATTTGAGTTTTGCTTTTCCTGTACAGGTCTTATATAAAAAAAAGTGTTGACCATATTAATTGAGCCAAAGTTTAATTTACTTCATAAGGCGTTAACTTTAAAATCTCTTGAATCTACTTGCTCCTGGTCTAAGTCCTCCAGAGGCACTGTTCTCTTAATTTTAAGTTGATAGTTTTTTTGTTGTTTTTATTTTTTTTTTCCTTCTTCTGGACACATACTGCAATTATATGAACTTTGTATGAACTTTTAATTTGTATGAACTTTGCTTCTTCAAACCAAGATATTACAAATGTTTTAGACAATATTTATCTGCACATACTGTCTTCAAAAACTGCAAGTCTGGAATAACTAGTTGTACTTATCCATATTTTTTGTTGCCAGAAGAAATCCAAACCCCACCACCCTTCCCTATTTGGTGAGGATGGAATCCACTCAGAAAATGACATGTGGAGCTTGGAGTTGCTGCCACCCGCTGTCAGATGGATGATGCCAGACAAACTCCGTCTGATTCAGCCAGGCTGCTCTCAAGCCGAGTGTGTGACATTTCACCAGATAGACTCCAGCCTTGGTTCACAGGGATATTTCTCCCTGCCCTCAGCATAATCTGCCGAGAGAGATGGGTTACAAATATCTGTAGGTTGGGAAGATGATCATGGCCAGGTCAAATACCACACGAGTGCTCCCTGCTCCCCTAGCCAGGAGTGCTCAGGTGCTCAAAGGCCTGAGGGACACAGCTGCCTGCTGTGGCATGGAGTTTGCTCACTGCAGGTTCTCCCACAGCAGGAGCAGAGAGACCAACCATTTTCATCACTGACTTGACCCCCTCATGCTGTGCAGGGATGCCTGTTCACAGAAACAGGCTCTGGGAAACCTGCCACTGCTGGGTGAAGAGGAGACATGATGCTCTGCTGTCGCTCCTCCCAGGGGAGCCTGGTGCATGGCTTAACCTCCCCATACGGCAGCAATGACTCTGCTCCCTCCAGAGAGGAAAAATAATTCAATCACCTTCAAAAACCATGGCCTGTATTATGTGATAACATTCACATTAATCAGAACAGTGAATGCATACCATGAGAAGTATATGATCCATGATTCTCATTAACATTCTTGTTTACTTAAATTTCTGCTGCTGTTTAAAGCTAAGTAAGAAACACTCTGTTTCCTCAGTGTTTTCTTCTGAAGTCAAAAACAGTAGTGGGGAAAGGCAGATAAGGTTACAAATTTTATGGAAAGATATCTAATAATACATAGCAAATCTGCATGCCTTTGCCAACTCCCACTAAAACAAGACCATATCAAAATAAAACATGCTGAAACATCGCCTACTTGGATCTAGAAGTACAATAGATCAAGCAGTATGTTACCAACTCCTTTCCTCCTTCCATTTCTTTAATTGCAAATATGGTAGTCATCTGATCATGTTTTATACAGTGGTTTTAGGGGGTAGACAGAGTGAGAGTCAGAAAAGTATTAGCTCCAATCTCCCCATCCCCAAATATTTAGCTATTGGTGTGTTCATCCCCATATGTTCAGACTTCTTTTATTGCCTTTCACAAAGAATGCTGCAAAATATACATTTTTAAACTACTCAATAACTGATTATGGGAAAAGGAAGAAAATAGTGCAACTGTTCTAACCACTAAGTGGCTCTTTTGATTATTTGCTAGTTATAGAGTTGACTTAAAAACCAACAATGTGTTGACATGAACCATTCAGAGGTTGTGAACAAAAAGAACTTTTTCCACCTCTGAAGAAAAATACTAGGAGCAGGGGTACAGTTTATGAAAAGATGGAACTCCCTCTTCGATATTCATTTATAATATCACATTACCAGAAAGGACTTTTTAACAAAGGTTCTTTTTCTATGCTAAATTCATAACTTTCTATTTTGCCTCCCACCATACAGAAGGTTTTATTTTCATTTGATTGAAAAAAAACAGACAAAAAAAAAATCAAGAAAGAAATCTGAAGCCTCTTTAGAATCAATAGCTAAACTCACGCAACTTCAGGCTTCAAAATTAGACATTTTGACCACCTAGGTTTCAGGTGTCCAGTCTTCTTATTCTGAATCCATTAAAAACAGCTATACACTTCAGATTTGGAAAAGTCAGATTATTTAAAATGTATTAATGATACACACATTTATGCTGGCGTCTTCTATTCTTCTCTCTTTCCAGCTAGCAGCCCTCCTTTCCCTGCTTTTCCATGTTCATACTTTTTGGCTTGGTACATTGTTTTCTCCTTTTTTTGGACAGCTTATTTCAATAGTTACATCATTCAGATTGTCCAAAAATCTGAATCTGGACTGAACTCAAGAAATTAAAACCAAAACAGATACTTCTGCCCACTCCAAAAGGAAGAAAGTTTGTAAAAGGATTTTACTGTAAGACTTTCCAGAAATCAAATGTTTTTAGAACTGGCTCAAACCTATCAACTTTTACCAAATGAGAAGTTGTTAAAACTATTCAAAAGTCATGTGTATGCGGAAGGAAGGGTAAACAAATGACCACTGATCTCACAGCTTTACAAATTTTTCTTCATGCTTTGAAGTCTTTCAATTTCAAGCTACGGCATGACAGGCATTTCTTTCCCCATGACCAAAATAAGAAACTTAGTAAACTGATAAACATTCTCTTTATTTGCACAGGGTAAGGCTCAAAGTATGACTAAACATACTTCATACATTGGGAAGTAAAACTTCCCAGTTCACTATTTATTTCCTACCAAGCATTCTAGTTATCCTTACTTTGTCCCCTCCATGATGTAAATGTAGAGCAACAGATATGTTCAAATTAAGTACTCCTTTTCTAAAAAGCTAGTCTCCTACCACCACCAGGGTGATCTCCAGATTTTGACTTATTACCATCAGCAACTGGAGACAACTGCTGTGAAAAACAAAAAAGCAAAAAGCCATAAGAGCCATCCCTGTTAAGGGTTAGGGGCATGTTGGGCTGTTCCACCACATTCAAGTAGTTGGACATCTCTTTCCTGTCCTGGAAGGATGGGAAATGGCATTTCTAGGGCATGAGACTGCACCTCATTCTGTTGAAAATTAAGCTAATTTATGAGAAAGGATTAAATATCAGTTCTTTCACAAACCTAAAAAAAAAATCTGGTTTTGCCAAAAATTGAAATCTCTTAGTTAACTTGTTGATAGCAGTACTTTCTGACTGACTCCAACACTGAATTCAGCCAGTCTCTGAAAAATTTGACAAAGAGAATCATATTTCTCTAAAGCTTTAAAATTTCTTTAAAGCTTTATTATAGGAATGATTTGGCCTGTAACACACTCATTACAAGTATAAAACAAAGCCTTGTCTTAGAATTTCTTTAATGTTTCTTTACATGCAAAGAGTCTGCAGAGTAAGTAAAACACGTGACCCATTTTTCTCAAAGGGTCAAAGGTAAGAATTTTTACAAGTGTGAATTCAGTTTCAAATCCAGAATAGAAGCTACAAATATTTACTCTACATAAATATTTAAGCAGTTTGAAGCTACCACCTGTGCACCCCCAGAAGGCAGCTTACCTTGCATTTTGGACACTTTTGGGCATTCCTTTGCCCGTGCTCAATCTCGTTGGCCCAGTGACGCAAAAGCTTGTCTCCCTTTTTGTACTCTTTGCAGTTAACGCCTTCATGCCAAGGCGAGTGGCACTTGAAACACCAGACAAATTGGCAAGATGGACACTGGATCTGTACAAATGATAAAACACCACACATTTGCAAGATGTTTAAATTGATAAAGGTTCTACTCCTCCCACTCTCTTGATTTTAAATCATTACGACAAAAACATCATCATCATGCCTTGTAGAGCCTGGCTAATTTTTGAAAAAAGTTGTTGCTGTGTTTGTAGTAGTAAGAAACAGAGGCACATTGCAGGTGCTCATTTTCAAATGACTGGCTTCATACCTGGCCCATGACCAAAGCAAGTAAGAAGCAGAAGCCACATTAGACATAGGCTTTGGGAACAACTCTACTTCAGCTGTGTTTGGCAGCACAGCTTCTGGCCAGGGAAGGCATGGCTCTCAAGCAACTGCTCAGCCCTCCTCACCACCTCAGCCACAGCCTGTGCTTCACACTGCCCGTAATTTGTACCAGCTGATGGACTGGACTGAGGAATTCAACCAAACCCAGCTTTTTGCCCACAGCTGTTCCCATACCTGGATCACCACAGACACGTTTGCGCTGGCAGTGCATGGGGTGGGGATGCTGCTCAGGAAGCTCTGCCCAGGGGTGAGGACCCAGGCAAAGCCCCCAGGATGCGTTTTGGAAATCCTCATGTCCCACAAGCTGCCGTGCCCTCTGCACAGACACGCTGACTGCCTGCCCACAGCCTCAACTCTGTTTTGAGGCCAAGGCTGACACGCTGATCTCCCTGAAGTATTTTTCTGGGGGGCAGCCAGAATTCATACGTGCAGTTCTTACATCTGTTGCTACCAGCATGCTAACACTTAATACTTTTCCTTAAGTTCTACATACATAGATAGCATTTAGGTTTTTGACTTTAGGAATTTTTTTTTTTTATTTTGAACATGAGTACAATTAATCCAATGGCTCAAGCTGAGTACTTTTTATGACTCTATCTGACCCATTTTTCAGTGGTTGCCGTTAACTTTGTATAAAGCAAACATTTTTGCATTGCAGTAGTGTCTGACAGCATAGCCTAATTCATATAATGTGAGGTATCTCTCTGCACAGCAGTGTTCAACCAAAGTGCTCTACCTTTACATGATGTGTTGCTCATTGCACCACTTCAGCTTACCTCTTTATACCATTCCAAACCTAAGTATCAACGCATGCAATACGAGCTCATGCTCAAGAGAACTAGCAATTTTCCTACTACATATAATGCGGCAGAGTTTACCCCTCCAGAATTCTTTGCCTGGTCTGAATTACGAAGAAGGAAAGCAGCCTCAAGATTTTCTTCTCTCTTTCCAACACATTTTAATTACCATTTACTACCCTTCTCCGAAAAAAAAAAAAAAAAAAGCGTTTAAGTGCTAGAATACATACTTTTTTTTTTCTTCATATCAGGAAGACTCAGACACTATAAAATTGAAATAGATTGAATTCTGATATCCTGTATCCTGTGCTTGTATGACTTACTGCTTGCTGTTACTACAGGGTGGCATTTTCCTAAGGCAAACAGTAAAATTCTTCATGTAGAGAAAAAAAATCACTTATTGGATGCTTTCTGTCGAAGAATAAGTTACTGAAACACAGGGAGGCAGCACGGAAACAGGGAAGAACAATAATAAAATTCATTTGAATTGAAACAACACATGACAGCTGCAACACGTGGTTTACAAAGACTATTACTTTTTGCATGAGAACACTAATTCCTGACCCAAGGCCAAGGCAAAGTATGAAACAACAGAAATACAAAGTATAATCAGTGCCATTTCTTGGATTTGTTGGTCCACAGGTCCAGATGCTAAGTAAATGTTATCCTGCTTGTGTGCATAATTCTTAAGAACAACTGAACAGTAAATTAGTTTCCCACTCTGAAGAATCCAAAGAATAGCATTTTTTCTGTTACTAACTAAATTCACACACAACACTGATTTAGGTTTACAGAACCCTTTAGAAACCAACGTGTGCAACGGATAGCTCTGACTACTGGCTTACTGTCTGGACCACTATCCCCATATTTTTCTACAAGCTTCAAACTTGTGATTTTCAACATCACATGTCCCAGTGACCTACTGCTAGAAAGACAAATTTTAGCTAGCATCACATTGCATTACTCAGTATTTATTATGCCTCAGGCAAGGATGGAGCTGGTAGCCACCATTAAGTGTTCTACAACCTGAAAGAATCACAGAATCATTAAGGCTGGAAAAGACTTCCAAAATCATCTGGTCCAACCATCCGCCTACCACCAGTGTCACCCACTGAACCATGTCCCTAAGCATCACTTAGAAAACACTACAACACAGGATGAGGTTGCAACTGTAGGATTTCAGAATAACATCTGTTACCATGAGTGGCCCTGATGAACTGAAGTAAACTAGCGGGATCTACCTCATTAAAAGGTTTGCAGTTACTTGTTTATTTTTCCACCTTCCACAGAACTGAGTTAGTAAATAGATTTAAGATTCTGAATGAGCCACTTGACTGTTGTTGTATAGTGTCTGAGCATACATTAAGCAGGGAAAGAGAAGTATGTTCTTTTAAGAATTATTATTCTTGCTTTTCTTGGAACTGGTGGCCACAAGACAAAACCCTAAACTTATTCAAACTTGGATTCAGTGTAACAGCATGGCAGGTACTCAAGAAATAGGAACACAACAGGGCAATTGTGGCTGTCTTTCAGATTCTTAAATCGTTCTTCCTCCACTTTTCTGAGAAAACCAAACAATGTGCTTTATGCTTCAGAGTGTTAGTGCATGAAATAACAAGGACACAGAAATACTCTTTTCATATGGTCTGAGGTAGTAAAATATACTATACCCCAGCAAAGCAGATAAACTATACCTGAAAAAACCAACAATACAAACAACCTTTGGTGTTTTCTCAAGTATGTTTTTCCTTATACCAACATTTACCTTTTCTTTTATGATTTCCATTTCAGTTGATCAGAATTGAGAGGATACATACCCAAGACATCAATCTCCCTTGAAATAGAAAAAAATACAGAAGTTCTCATACTAACCCTCTTCATTCTCAGCTTTCTGAAATACTGACCTTTGAGGCTAACATTTTCCATTTTCTTAGCAAGCCTCTTCAGTGTAAACTATTCTATCATTTTCCTCACCTCCCAGGAAGAGACCTTTCAAAATTGGTAGGTAACAGCAACACAAAGCACTGACCATTGTGGTATGACGTTAGCAACACTGACTTCACATTAAAAATATTCTGAGAGTTTGAAGCTGCAGGAAGATTAATGGGATTTTCTGCTGCTTAGTGGAATGCTGGTTACAAGCTAGGATAGCTGAATAAATTGTGCAGTTGATGACATGAATCTCATGCTATCTCTAGCTACGGCTACAGTCACTTTTTTCCAAAAAAAATATGGGCTCCTGCCAAAACAGCTGCCTCCTCATTACCAACCCATCCCTTGTCTCGTACCAGCTGAAAATAAGCAACAACAAAACAAACAAATCTTGTGTCCCATTGGAGCTGATCTTTGATCCAGCTCCCAATGTGACAACAAAACATCAACATGAGCAAAAGCAAGCCGGCAGGAACAAACAGCTAAGAGCAAAGAGGGACAGAACAACAAAATCACTACTTTCAGAGAAGTTCAGGCTTCAGGCTGACTGAAGTGATGTGTAGACATGAAGATATCTGCATTTCAAGGTTAAAATTTTATCAAAAAATGGGGACAACTCATTGGAATCAGCTACACAGATTCATTCCATCATGGCACCTTCACAGCCACAGATTCCTACCGGTTCTAGAGCATAGAGTTTCAGAAGCTCTTCAGTCGTTCAAACAAAAGACAGCTTATGTAAGAACCACACTGAAAAAAAAAACATTTACGTTTCCAAAGTCAAGCACTCAAGCCTTTATTTCATACAATGGTATTTCTTCACAGAAGCAAGCAAGAAATCTTTGTTATGAACCTCACGGGCTAAGGCAGAAAAAGCCCAACAATCAAGAAATGCTTTTTCATGGCAGGACAAAGAGACAATGCTAAAACAGGTGAAATCCAGGGCTGTCGGAAATAACAACAACAAAAGACAGAAAAAGCCATGAAAATTACTCTAGTAAAACCCATATCCATATGTTCCATGCATAGGAGCTTAAGTACCAATTTTTCTTTTCCCCCTCCCTCCCATTTCCTTTGCACTTTGGCATACCAGCTCTTACCAAAAGTTTATTAGAATCTTGCCAACAACAAAATCTTATGCCCCCAATTTGGGTCATAAGATAGAGGGCAAGGGTCTTTCCTTACTGGGAAGCTGGATCCCTTTGTGATATGAGTTCTTTATATGAAACTATGTAATTATATTGCTTTAGTGTGCTGTCCTAAGGACACTCACAGCAAAAGGGAGGTTTGCATAGCAAGTTTCCCTCTTCTTTCTCTCCTCTGACAACATACATGTATGCAAGACCTTCCTGTCTCCAGTCAGACCTCTCCTATGCTATATGTGGGGAAAAAAAGTGTCTTTGCCTCCAAAGAGCCTATAATTTGAGGCACACAAGACAACATATGAGAAATCACATAAGAATAAGAAAACAGAGATAATGGTCCACAGCTACACGTGCATGTAACTAATCACATATACAGTCATATATAGCCTTCTTTTTACACCTCTTCCATGTGCTGATCCTAAAATAACTCACTAAAAGTATACCTATGGCAGAAAACGACACAGATTCAGGGAACAGCCCAAAGCCCTGGACCATGGCTATCCATACTGTTTGATAGCATTTTCCGAGTTGCATTTCTGATCTGTGTCAAGTAGACATTCCTCCAGGGAACACACCTGGACACAGCTCAAAGCACACATTTTGACAGGGTCTGTTTCCCAGAGGAGGCTTCAGCCCTACAGATCAGGACTACACAGAGCACTTTACCACAGAAGCAAGGAAAAGCTTCTAGCAACGCATAAGGCAGCCTCCGATTCTTTCTTTGTATAGGATTTCCAGGGGAGTGGTGAGAACATTTCAACCACAGCATTTTAACTCAGAGCGCTGGTGGGCAGGAGTACTCATTTTATGCTTTGAGGACGACAGAAAAAAAATAAATCTGAGTTGGCACATCCATGATGTAACAGCTACACAAACTGTGACAGGGCTCGAGGGAACAGTACAGCCTCCGGCACCTTATGAGAGGCTGCTGAAGAAGCATCACTACAGTAGGTCTGCCTTGGACCATGCATCCTGTCTGTATCTGAAGGGACAGTAAGTGGATAGCTGAAGAAGAATGGCTGCGGGCAGAAGGAACTTGACCTACAGATGGAATTTTTCACCTCTGTGTAAGGTGCCAAAAAACTGAAAAGAAGTCCAATGCCAGATCTGAAGTCCAACACCAGACTTTGTGGCAGCTTTCATGCAGTTCAAACACTGCACAGATACATGTAAGCAGCTTGTATCTCAGAGTTAGCTTTACTGAGGTTTCAATTCCACTGGATACACAACCTTGTACCTTTTAATCTTCACACTGGGCTGAATCTTATGCTGTAATTAGGCCTATCTAAACAACCATCTAAACTCCTACTGAAGAAAACTGGTTTGTCCAGGCAAGGCTAACTCAATCATGAGATTAGCCACCACAAGTCTAATAACTGGATGGAAAACTGAAACAGAGCATGATGCAGCAGACAGAATGTTCATCTTTTGGAACCAAGATGGACCTTCAGGAGCTCAAAGCTGCTTCTGCCTGCCATCATGCTTTTACTTTGATTGAAATCACAATATAAGTAAGCCTTCTACTAGAAGTGCTGTCAAAAGGTGTCTTTGATCTTTTTAAAACTTTGTGTATTGAGAGTCCACAGGATACTGAGAAACCACAGTAATGTTTAACCTCTATAGTAAGGGACTGAAGAAATCAAAACCAAGCAGCAGAACAAACAATGGCTCCAGTTCTTAAGAAGGAGCAAGCCAACAGGATGCTATCACCTAACACAGCAAGTGTCCCAAATTCATTTGTTGAGAGTTTCAGGGAAAACCTATCTTTGCTGGAGTTGCACAGCTAAAATTGTCTGTAATAGTGTGATTCCTCTTCCCCAGTCTCTTCTAATCATGACTATATTATCTGCATGTCAGAGAAGAAAGAAAATACTCTTAAAGTACTCTTTGAATTACGCCAGGCTAAAATTATGCCACCTTACCAAATAAGTAAGGACTAAAGTTAAACTCTTCAAATTGTTAGAAATTAATTAATTAATCAATGATTCATATTCCTAATCACAGCTTGCACAAAGCCCCAGTGACAGAAGAAAGCTCACTTAATGCCCACCAAGTGCTGTCCTACCCACAGCTCTGGCGACCATGCTCACTTTGTATTTGTTCTCCAATTTGGCAGGGGTAGGAATGTGGCCTCTCCTCCGGAAGGTTGTAAAGTGCTTGCACTGAGGGCATGGCTTGGTGCTGGAGTCAATGCGGCTGAGTTCCAGGAAATATTTATACTTGATGATGTCCTCGTGGGGCAGGTTATAGAGGATGGTTGTTTCATCCAGGTGTTCGCTGCACTCTGTGATTGGGCATTTTATATCCGCTTGTCCCAGCTGCACCTGAAGGCGGGGAAAAAAAACATACAGAAGAGTTGCAAGACCTCTTGTTTGGAAAAGGTGCTACTCTGCAAGCATTGAGGAAGCAAACATTTGTGAGTTTTGTAAGAAAATTCAATTTAAAGTACTCTAACAGTCCATGGACTATCAAGCATATCATCTTAAAGTTATTTTGACTTCTTACTCCAAGTGAACTGCCATTTTTCCAAAGGGTATTTTCCAAATCCAACAGAAAAGCTAATTACTCCTATAACAACTGTAGTTATATACCATGGCAATGTACTCCATGAAACCAAAACGTGAACTAGCAGCACCCATGCAGCACTACATGCTTTGGCTGAAATAGCCAACTCTCCACTATCATGGCTCACATAGGCAGTGAGAAAGCAGGTAATGGAAACACCTGTATACTTTCATTCCAAAATGTGTTGGGAATCACAGCACAGAGAAATTAAAGTCAATTTAGGATCATCAACTCTGACTCAGTGCTAGCCCTGAGCTGACTCCTGCTAAGCAAGCACAGAAAACATCAACTGAGCCCGGGGCTGACCAAGCTAATAAATTTTCCCAGAACCTTGAGTGCTGTAATATTTAAAAAAGAAAAAAAAATCCCTAAAGATGACCAAAACAAAAACACACAGAAAAGCATGCTCAACTTATCAGGGCTGAAACTGCTGTTGATGTAATGAGCCCTGATGGTCCCAAGCTGATCTGTATGGACAGTTATCTGCAACACAGGTCTAGAGCTCCAGGATCTGAGACCAGGGCTAGACACAGGTCTGCACCCTTCATGCTTGGCAGGCTTTATTAACTTGGACTCCATGCCAAAACAGCAGATCCTAGCTGGTCTGTGAGCAGTGAGGCTGTATTTACTTGGCACTGAGCCTGAGTTAATAAACCCTGCTGGGTCTGAGGAGTCTGCAAGGACCCAGCATGAGCTTGTTCACTCACGTCTGCCACACATAGTCCTGAATGAATGAGAGTTGACTGCACACGTGGAGCTGACCACCAGCCCAATTCTTCCTTACTAACCATCTCCGTGCAAAGAAGAAGGAAGGGGGGGCTGACAGTGGAATGGGTGTCTCTTTCTAGGAACTATTGGTTTGAGGTTGGTCAGTTTAATTTCCTTGGACTGCTTACTTTTTTAACATGTTCCATTATGGGGATCTGCAAACAATATACTAAATACAATAGCAACGTCTCAGATTTTGATGCAGGTCTTGCTACTGCATGGCGGTATCAGAAAACATCATAAACCAGGGACTGTTAGTGCAGCATTTCAGCTAAGAAAGGAAAAAAGATAAAGCAACACAACCCTGCCCTTGCTGTCTCAGCTACAGAGTCATATGGGCTCCAACTGAATGATAATTTAGTCAGGAGTTACAGAAGACATTACAAAAAAAGGTATGAAAAGACATTACAAAAAGGTATGAACCCCAAGGTCAACCCCTATTGACTTCAAAAAAATCCCCATGGCACTGCCTTTGTTTCCCCCAGCAATGCAATGGAACCAAAGAGGTGAGGAAGTTATAAGATGGCAGCAGTCCATCCCAGACCAGAGCACAGAGATGAGATCTCAGCCCTGTGCGGCCTCAGCTCAGGCTGCGGGCAGGTCAGGATAGGAGACCTTCCCATGGTACAAAGGAGAGGCTGGCTCCCCTGAACTACACCCATTGTCAGGAGGCAAATGCTCCAAAACTTCACCTCCAGCCCCAAAAGATAAGGAGAACACCACCACACACAAACAAGTCTAGATTCAGGTATTTTGGCCTTTACCTGGAAAAGGGTGGAACAGAAGGAGCATGTGGTTGAATGCACCATTAGAAAAAAAAAATCGAAAAAAAAAAAAAACAACACACAAAACATTTCCCCCCCCCAACATGCTGTGGGGAATGCCCACATTTTACAGCTGGAAGACACTAACATACGTGAAGCAGCATGTGAAAAGTTGAACCCAAGCGTATGACAGAGTGATTCTTCTCAGAAATTCAAAAACAACTCAGTTTGATACATGTTAAAATGTGTTACAACCACACTGCAAGAAGATCACATCACCATGACACAGCACATCCCTGTTTTAGAGGAAACATTGACATCTGAAATATTTAATCTATGGCTTTACCACGTGATCCAAAATAAATATACTAGGAATTATTTTATGCTCACAGTTTGTTATCCAAGTATTTTGACCAGAGATAGTGGTCTCTGGGCAATCTAGTTACTCTGCTAGGAGTCTTCATATAAGTGAGAAGTTTTGCAGATGCTCAGACCTTTAAACATTTTCTTCCCACGTTCTAATAGCTCTGGCCTTTTTCTTTGCAGGTATTCCCATTATGTATATATACAGACTTTCATAGAAGTATATCCTTCCTCTGCTGATGCCTACCCCTTCCAAGAGTCAATACAGCTCCAGCAGTGCTCTGCATTGCAGAACATGGACTGCTGGGCTGAAGCACTTATCAGTAATTCATTTCAGAACACGTGGAGTTTGTTTTAATTTATCCCTGTGTATCATCTGTGCTCAGGAAGCAGAAAGAAAAATGAGTCCAGCTCCCAAGAACCCAAATACATTAACACAGGAAAAAAATTGCTACAGAAATACAAAACTCTATTGCACTACTACAAGGATTAATAGTTCAATATATGTAGTACAACAGAAGTAATGCTTCTATTTGAAGAAGTATAGACAAAACAATTTAAATCTAAATAGTCAAATGAACCCCATCTATGGCTACTTTGTTGTTGTTGTTTAAGAATTAGGGAAATACTAAAAGGGGTAAGCCCTTTTCCTAGAAGTAAACTAATCTGCATCGGAGCAACACTTCATGCTGAGAAGGCACACTGCATTTGGCATTTAAACTGGTGCTTAAGAACCACCACTTACATGACATGGTAGTTAGAACAAACCTGCATTTATAAAATGAAGGAACACAAAGCTGAACACTTTCTATTTTTCATGCCCACACAAAATATGATTAAATATGTGGTAAAAGTCAAGCGTGGTTTCAGTGTTTATTTTGAAAATATGTTTTACACCCACTTGAAGTAAATCATTTTTATCCTCTGTAATAGTTTCAGCCTTTCAAGTTTGGCAAAGATTGATTCTTTTCCTATGTTTTGAATAGGACTGAAGTGAACAGAGCTGTTTTGCTTATTAGCAGTAACTTCAATGGAGCCTTGTCTTACCAAAACAGTCCATCTTTGTTTGTGCACTAGCATTAGCAATTGATGCAAGTACAGCTTTAGAAGTAGCTTGTTAGGCTACCTGCTGCTGCAGACCCTGGAGGTGCTACGGAACAGCAGAGAAAAAAAATCTTTTAACCTCGGTAAAAAACAACTAACTAGTTTTATTCTTTTTCATGATTTTTTTTTCAAAGAATTTTTGAAGAGCCTCATCCTTCAATATCAGCTTATCACAATGTCAAAACCCCGAGTTTTAAGAAGTCTTTGAATTTCAAAGTACCACCATGTATTAAAAGCTTAAGAATCCTCAGTATACACAACAGCATGGTATATTTTCACACCGTGAGGAATGACTGATATGTCTAAAGGCAGTTGAGCTGCTGCACAACAGTAAATGTCAGACTCTATTCAGTTCTTACGCCCAGCTGTGCTCAACTTTCGTAAATCATCTCGGGAGGTGCTAGCACCATTTACAATTCATCCTGTGAAAGCAGGTTCTCATGAGTTTCATCCTGCAGAAAAGCAACATTTAAACTGTCAGAACAGCATTACACTGCCCCACTCCCCCTGTAGAACACTTACATTTCTAACAGTGAGCCGAGCTCTCCCCTGTAAACTAACATGGATGTTATGCATGAAAAATACTTTGGAAGTGCACAGATGCAAGTAAAGGGCCAGTTTGATACACAGGACTTTCACATTCTACAGAGGAACAAACTAATGGAAGAAAGTTGCTTTTATTTGCAAGAAAAATCCTATTGCCTTCTAGTTCACTGGAAATGTTGTTCTTCCATATTTTTATTTTGCTGTAAGATTCAACTAAGTGAATAACTACTTTCTTCACTTACTTCTGGGAAGTATCATCTTGATTTTTTTTTTTTTAAACCAATCAAACAGGTTTTCATGGAAAATACTTTAATAGCTCTCCATAGGACTCCACAGTGGTAGGTGCTAATTGAATGAAATCCAAATAGACAACACAACAAGTGCAACCAAGAAGGAAAAAAAATAAAGACACTGGAAACTTTTACTAAGCATTTTGCACCCGTCTTTAAGGTTGTGGTTCCATGACCATTCCTGTGGTTTAAGTACTAACTTTAGTAATCCATACCCTCTGCCTCTGCGTTATGCCAGTGATGTCCTACTCTTACAGAAAAAAAAAAACAAAAAAACAAAAAACAAGCAATCCTATGAAACAGATTTTCTTTTTCAGTTTGCCCTCCCTGCTTACTTCCAAACTGTAACATATCCTCAGTGATGTAAAATAAGTGAGAATGAAGAGTTGGAAACTAATAGTGATGCGAGTAGATGAGATACAACTACTTCATTTGTATCTCCACCAAGTAGGAAGACAAACTGGGTTTCATGTGCTACCTCCAGCTGCACTGTATATCTTCACGTATGTTCTTGCCTGTAGTTCATTGCTTGCTTCACAGACCAAAACCCCTATGAGTGTGTTTCGTTTGCTTCTCCCCTTTTATTCATGTCTCTAGATAGCAGACTTGCATTAAACTTACTTTTAGAACCCATTTTTCAGTAAGCCACCATATTGTCCTCTCTGCCAACCACCACCTGTAATGTTGCATCCCTCCCCTACCCAGGAGGGAGGGTCTTCACCAGCTCAAGCAATGGGTACATTGCTGATCTCAGAAAGGTTACAGAAAGAATTGAAACTGGTGAGGAACTCCTGTATGCCAACACTGAATTCATAATTGTTAGTTCTTAATTCTTACACCAGGAAATACCTACACGACCACCAAATCAACTAGAATGACCAGTCTTTCTTCATAGTCAGTCAGTGGAGAACAAGGAAGGCAATC